TAATATATATATATATATATATACATAGACAGACACATAGGCATATACATATCTATATCCATTATATATGGATATATGTATATACTTAGCAATTATATACATAATACATATAATATATATAATGTATATATATATATATAATTGCTAAGTATATATATATATATATATAGGCCCGTGCAAACTGACAGACTGGAGTAATTAACTTTTTGGGTGTTTGTGCCTGCTGAGCAATTTGTAAATATACAAAAAATTTAAATGAAAATAAATGCAAACAAAACCATCAATAATAATAATAATAATAATAATAATAATAATAATAATAATAATAATAATAATAATTGTGTGCATCCGTTAATAAACAGATGCATACAGATAAGTGTATATACACCGCAAGTATGTACATTGAATTATATTCGTCTTCATGTTGTTTTTGTTTTTGTTTGTTTGTCTGTCTTTGTTTTTCTTTTTCTCCTGCAGCGAACATAATTAAAAACAAATATTATATAATATAATATCATATACAAATACCCCTAATATTAACCAATCAGACTTGCAGCTAAACAAAGAACAGCAAATACACCCCAATTGCTTCTCCTTTTCTTCTTCCTGCTGCTAATCTAATCACCTGCTGCTGCTGCTGCTGCTGCTGCTGCTAATCTAATCATCATCATCTGCTGCTGCTAATGTAATTAATTACCTGCTGCTGCTGCTCCAAAGCTAATCACCTGCTGCTGCAGCTGCTGCTGCTGCTAATCTAATCATCATCATCATCATCTGCTGCTGCTACTGCTAATCCAATTAACTACCTGCTGCTGTTGCTGCTACTGTTGCTACTGCTACTATAATTATTTACCTGCTACTGTTGCTGCTTCTTCTTTTGCTGCTGCGGCTTTAAGGGTCTGCATGCCGCATAACATTTGCAATGAGCGACATAAAAAAGAATAAAGAATTGCTTCGCTCTTCGTATTCCATTCGAGGGAAGAGACATATATTTTCTGCTGCCTGCAGCATCACAACAAAAACATAAATAAAAATATACTCCTCCTGCTGCTGCTGTTGCTGTTGCTGTTGCTGCTGCTGCTGCTGCTGCTGCTGTTGCTGCTACTGCTGCTGCTGTTGCTTCTAGTGTTCTTGCTGCTGCTGCTGTTGCTGCTTGTGTTCTTGCTGCTGCTGCTGTTGCTGCTAGTGTTCTTGCTGGTGCTGCTGTTGCTGCTTGTGTTCTTGCTGCTGCTGCTGTTGCTGCTACTGCTGCTGCATTTGCTACTGCTGCTGCTGCTACTGCTGCTGCTACTGATGCTGCTAGCGCTTCTGCTTCTGTTGTTGCCACCGCTTCTGTTGCTGCTGCTTTTGCTGCTGCTGCTGCTGCTGCTGCATTCGCTCACTGAATTATTTTCTGGCGCTTCTGTCTCGTCTTCTACAACCGAAGAAGCAACCGAAAAAAGCAGCAAAACAAACTCCAGCGGCTGCTGCAGCAGCTGCTGCACTTGCGTTAGACGCCGCAGCTGCAGCAGCTCCTCTGCTGCTAAGTTGAGGTGTACACGTACCTCAACACCCACACCAGAACAACTGTTGCTGCTGCTGCTGCTGCTGCCCATAGAAGCAGCAGCAGCAGCCATATTCTCTGGTATCCCATTCGAATGCTGCTGTACTTGCTGCTGCTGCTGTTGCTGTTGCTGCTGCTGTTGCTGCTGCTGTTGCTCTTGCGGCTGCTGCTGTTGCTGCTGATCCTGCTTGTCTTGCTGTTGCTGCTCCGGCTGCTGTTGCTGCTGCTGATGTTGCTGCTGTTGCTGCTGCTCTTGCTGCTGTTGCTCTGGTTGCTGTTGCTGCTGCTCTTGTTGTTGCTGTTCCTCCTCCTGCTGCTTCTTTTCATTTTCTCGCTCTCGCAGATCTTGTTGCATCTGCTGCTGCGTTTCTTGTTGTTCGCTGTTCCTCCTCCTGCTGCTTCTTTTCGTTTTCTCGCTCTCGCAGATCTTGTTGCATCTGCTGCTGCGTTTCTTGTTGTTGTTGTTGTTGTTGCTGTTGCTGCTGCTGCAGCTGCAGCAGCTGCTGCGCTGTTCGCATGCGTTGAAGCAGTTCTTCTATCATAGGGCAGGGGAAGAGCCGCAGCAGCGCCAGCAGCAGCTGAGGGTTTTGCGGTGTACAGGGAGGTTTAAGTGCAGCACAAATAAACATCAATAATACTTTATACACCAATACGCAACAATCCAAACTAATACGGGTCTTGCTGCTGCTGCTGCTGTTGTTGTTGCTGCTGCTGGTCTCTGCTCGTGCTGCGGCTGCTGCCAGTTCCTGAGAGTTAGAAGCAGCAGCAGCAGCAGCAGCAGGGAGAGGCAGCAGTAGCAGCAAACGGCGCGTCAGCCAAGCGAAGAGAGCGATGAGTCTCTCAGCAGCAAACCTGCAACAGCACATTGGAGTGTACATACACCGCATTCTGCTGCTGCTTCGAAGCCACTAAAAAGAATTACCTTCTACAGAAACAACAAACAACGGCAGCAGCAACGCAAACAGCAGCAGCAGAACGGAAGCAACGCAAACAGCAGCAGAAGCTGCAGCAGCTATAGCAGCAACAACAGCAGCAAGGACTTTAACAGCAGCAGCAGCAGCAGCAGCAGCCTCAACAGTAACAACAGAAGCCGCAGCAACACCAACAACACCACCAACACAACAACGGCAGCAGCAGCAATTGCAGCAGCAACAGCAGTGCCAACAGCAGCAACGACACCAGCAGCAGCAACAACTGCAGCAGCAGCAGCAGCAGCTGACCAGTGGATCTGCTGCACATTGTGGGCGATGTTTAAAATAACTGCAGCGGAGACCTCTAAGAGGAAGACATCGTAAAAATTAAATAAATTCCTGCGAACAAAAACGCATGCAATCTGCTGCTGCAGCAAACGATAATCCACCTGCTGCAGCAGCAACAGCAGCAGCAGCTGCTTGGTGCAGCAAGAACAGCAACAGCAGCTGCAGCAGTAGCAGTAACAGCAACAACAGCTGCAGCAACAGAGCGGCAGAACAGCAACAGCAGAACAACAGCAGCAGCAGCAGCAAGACAGCAGCAGCAGCAACAGCAGAACAGCAACATTAGCAGAACAATAGCAGCAGCAACACCAGCAGAAGAGCAGCAGCCGCAAAACAGCCGTCGAACGGCAGCACCAATAGCAACAGCAGCAGAAGCAGCAACAGCAGCACAAGAGCAGCAGCAGCAGCAGCAGCAGCAACAGCAGCAGCACTTGCCAGGTGATGAATTTTAGTGCGGTTAGTATGACGATCGAACCCAAAGAAATTTCCCTCAACTTCGTGCTGCTCTCACCAGGCACTTCAGAGACAACCTGCAGCAGCAGCAGCAGCAGCAGCAGCAAAAGCAGCAGCAGCAGTCTTTCATTTCATAGTTAAAGGATTTTAGGCTGTATATTCTCTTAGAAGGAGCATCTGCGTCAGTGAAGAGCAGCAGCAGCAGAGGCTGCTGCTGCGATTGCTATTGATGCTGCTGCTGCTGCTATTGATATTGATGCTGCTGCTGCTGCTGCTGTTGCTGCTGCTGCTGCTGCACCTTGGAGTGGAAGTGGCGGCAGGCCTGAGGGTCTTTGGTTAGCAGCAGCAGAGAGAGAGACAGCAGCAGAGCAGCAGGAGGAGCTGACTGCATAGAACCCTTCCCTATTACTTTTGCTGCAGAGAAAAACAACACCACCACGCACACTTCATATGCTGCTGCTGCTGCTGCTGTTGCTGCTGCTGCTGCTGCTGTTGCTGCTGCTGCAGTTGCTGCTTCGCAGCTGAAATTGCTGCAGCCCCACAACCGCTACTTGTACAGCTGCTACTGCTTCTGTTCCCCCTGTTATTGCTGCTGCTGCTGCTGCTGCTGCTGCTGTTGCTGTTGCTGCTGCTGCTGCTGCTGCAGGTCGTACCTCGTCGCAGCTGTTTGAATTTGCTGTTGGAGGTAATTTGAGTTGAGGCATCGAAGAGGGCCAGCAGCAGCAAATTCTCTATCTCCCCACGAGAGACACAATACAGCCTAACAGCAGCAGCAACAGCAGCAGCAGCAGCAACAGCAGCAGGTGGAAACGGCTATTATTGTCTTTTGCATATTATGTGCAGCTACTCAGCACAACTGCTGCAGCAGCAGAAAGCATCGCTGCTGCAACTGCTGCAGCAGCAGAAAGCACCGTTCCTTTCGCCGTTGAGGTTGCTGCAGCAGCAGCAGCAGCAACAGCAGCAGCAGCAACAGCAGCAGCAGCAGTACCTGAAGCAACGGTTGCGGTAGAGAAGAAGATACAGCAGCAAAGGAGTCGCCTGGCTGTCTAAGAGGGGAGCAGCAGCAAACGACCGAAGCAAACTGCTGCAGCAGATGTCTCGGAAGGGTGGGAACTGCTGCTGCTGCTGCTGCTGCTGCTGCTGCTGCTGAGGTGTACAGACACCTGAACCACGGAAGTAGACGGGGTCGCACAAAGAACTCAACGCCAACACAAACGGATTCGCCTGCACACAACAAGCCCTAAACCCTAAACCCTAAACCCTAAGCCCTAAGCCCTAAGCCCTAAACAACCGACATTTGGCTTGCGAGTACAGAAGAACAAAAAGCAGCAGCAAATCGCAACAGCGAAGTGCAGGCGTTGGGGTAGCTGCTGCTGCTGCTGCTGCTACTGTTGCTGCTGCTGCTGTTGCTGCTGTTACTGCTGCTGCTGCTGTTGCTGCAGATATACCGCAGCAAGAGAAGATGTCTCACTGCTAGAGTGGCGCGGTAGTTGGCTTGGCCCTGTTCAGCCCCGGTCCTAGCAGCAGCAGCAGCAGCAGCAGCAGCAGCAGTTGCTTCCTTTTCGTGCAAGTAGTGCAGCAGAATATGTTTTTGCTGCTCTTTAACTGAAAGCAGCAGCAGCCCCTCAGCCACATTTGGAGGCATTCTCAAACCTGACTGCTGCTGCTGCTGCTGCTGATGTTGCTGCTGCTGCTGCTGCTGCTGATGTTGCTGCTGCTGCTGTTGCTGTTGCTGCTGCTGCTGGAGCGCCTCCATTGCTGCAGCAATTCGAGCAGCAGGCTGCGCGTGGAAGGCAAGCAGCAGCAGCAAACAGAGACAGAGATCGCCTAACTCTCTTGGGAAGGCGACCCGGCACAGCTGCACCTGAAGCTGCTGCTGCTGCTGCTGCTGCTGCTGCGGTGCAACAAGGCCAAATGCCTCTCCAGAGACACTCAAGCACCAACTACGCAGCAAATATGCTGCTACCTCTGCAGCAACCGCAGCAGCAGAAGCAGCAACAATAGCAGGGAAATCGACAGGCAACAGCAGCACAGCAGCAGCAACGGCACCAGCAGCAGCTGCAGCAGCAACAGCAACAGCAGTAGTAACAGCAGCAACAATTGCAGCAGCAGCAACAGCAGCAGTAGCAACAGCAGCAGCAGCAGCAACAACAACAGCAGCAGCAACAGCAGCAGCAGCAACAACAGCAGCAGCAACAACAGCAGTAGCAACAACAGCAGCAGCAGCAGCAACAGCAGCAGCAGCAGCAGCAACAGCAGCACTTACCTTTGGGTTGTGTTGCTGCTGCTCCTTCGCTCTCCCAGAGCGCCATTAAAATATCAGCAAAGATGCAGCAAGGAGCAACAGCAGAAAAATAAAGACGCTCAAATACACGCTGCGGCAGCAGCAACTTCTGGTGCTGCTGCTGCTGCTGCAGCTGCATCTGCTGCTGCTGCTGCTGCTGCAACAGCAGCAGCTGCTGCTGCTGCTGGAAGGCGTAGAAGAGAGGAGCGCAATGAGCTGCAGCGCTGCTAAGAGGAGGCAGCAAAAATTCGGAGTTAAAACCTGCAGCAGCAGCAGCAGAAGCTGGCCAGGACAAACAATCCTTGCACACCATGTTGCTGCTGCTGTTGCTGCTGTCGTTGCTGCTGCTGCTGTGCTGCGCTGGTGCTTCATTGAAAGGCATGCGGCTTGAACCGTCCTCCGTAGCAGCAGCAGCAGCAGCTGTTGCTGCTGCTGCTTCATCTGCTGCTGGCTCTGCCGTCCCTTCTACTGAGCCTTCGCCTGGCGTTGCTGCTGCTGCTGCTGTTGCTGCTGTTTGCTGCTTAGCCGTGGAGTTTGCTGCAGCAGGAAGAACAGCACCAGTTCGTGCATGCGCTGCTGCTGCCGACCCAGCAGCAGCAGCAGCAGCAGCAGCAGCAGGAGACAGAATAGAGGCTTTCTCAATCACTTGGTTGGGGCATACAACAGACAGCAGCATCAGCAGCGCAGCAGCAATTTGCTGTTGCGCTTCCAGCATAAGCGACTGATAGAAGCAAGGAGGGTGGCTATACACCAGAAAATTAAACATAGAGCGCATTAAATGCAGCAAACAAGAGCTGCTGCTGTTGCTGTTGCTGGTGCCGTTGCTGCTGTTTTGGCTGCTGCTACTGCTGCTGCTGTTGCTGCTGTTGTTGCTGCTGCTGCTGTTTGGCGTAGCTTTACTGTCTACTTCTTGAGGGATCCAGAGCGGCAGTAAATATAAACTGAGAATGTTGTTATTGGTGCTGATGCTGCTGTTGCTGCTGCTGCTGCTGCTGCTGCTGCCATCTGCAGCGAGGGCTGTGGGTGCTGCTGCAGCAGCGGCGTTCCACTGTGCTAGTTGCTGTTGGTGCTGCTGCTGCTGCTGCTGTTGCTGCTGCTGCTGCTGCAGCAGCACCTGAACGGTGTCTGGGGACACCAAGTCTGCACAAGAGAGCAGCAGCTCTTGCTTCGGTTGCTGCTGCAGCGCAGCAAAGAGGAACCCTCTTGCTGCTGCTGCTGCTGCATCTCTGCTGTACGCCGACCTTAAAAATGTAATAACCTGTTCATACACCTCAAGGCTGCTGCTTGGCTGCAGCAGCAGCAGCACTTTCTCTCTGTAGATTATCTTTAGCGTAATACCGCTGCTGCTGCTGCTGCCGCTGCTGCTGCTGCTGCTGCTGCTGCTGCTGCTGCTCTTTAAAGGACTGAGCATCTCCCTCGGGCCCCCTTCCTCTCCTTGCAATTCAGCCGAATCCAGCACCCCATCTGCTGCTGCTGTCGCTGCTGTTGTTGCTGCTGCTGTTGCTGCTGCAGGTGGTTCTTCTGTTGTTGGTGTTGCTGCTGCTACTGCTGCTGCAGGTTGTTCCTGCGCTGCTGCTGCCTCTGCTGCTGCTTCTGCTGCTGCTTCGTCTCTTGCATGAAGATCATCATCATCATCATCATCATCAGAAGCAACATCAGCAGCAGCAGCAGCAGCAGCAGCAGGTATGTACTCAGCAGCAAGAAGGATTTGTGTTGCTGTTAGCTGCTGCGTCAGTGCAGCAACAACCAAACGGCACATAAATGCAGCATTCCTTAATGCACGAGCATCAGGAGCAGCAGCAGCAGCAGCAGCAGCAGCAGGAGATGCTGTAGCTGTTGCTGTTGTTTCTCCAGAGGCGTCTGTTGCTGCTGTTTCTGTTTCTGCTGCTGCTGCTTCGGTTGCTGTTGCTGCTGCTGCTGCTTGCTGCAGCAGCTGGTTCTGTTTGTTTGTGTGCGTTGGCGGTTTGCTGCTGCTATTGCTGCTGCAGTTTGCGGTGTATATGCAGCTGAGTGCAGCAGCAAAAGCATCTAAGCGTGAAGCAAGAAAGACAAGTAGAGCCCTTACGTTGCCTGTCTTGTGGTTTGTTAGCAGCAGCGGCAGCAGCAAACGAACCCATACTGCTGCTGCTGCTGCTGCAGTACCTTCAGGCATGTAGTGGGGCTGCAGCAGCAGCAGCTGCTTCCAGCTGCTGCTGCTGCAGCTTAACGATTCTGCTGCTGCTGCTGCAGCAACTATCTCTTCCGTGCAGCAAACAAAAGGGTGGCTGTCATGCAGACATGCTGCTGCCTCTTCAGGGACTGAAAGGTTTGCGCCCATCTTCTGCTGCTGCTGCTGCTGCTGTTGCTGCTGCTGCTGCTGTTGTTGTTGTTGTTGTTGCTGCTGCTGTTGTTGTTGGTGCTATTGTTGTTGTTGCTGCTGTGGTTGCTGTTGGTGCTGCTGCTGTGGTTGTTGATGCTGCACCTGCTCCTGTTCCTGTTGGTGATGCTGCTGCTGCTGCTGCTGCTGTAGGTGGCGGTGTTGCTATTGTTGCTGCTGCTGCTGTTGCTGTGACTGCAGCTGCTCCTGCTGCTGCAGTTGGTGTTGCTCCGCATGTGCTCCTGCTGCACTTGCTGCACTTCAAACTGCTCCTGCTGCTGCACCAGAAGGAGCCCTTCTTTAGTTTAATGGGGCCGTTGCTGCTGTTGCTGCTGCTGCTGCTGCTGCCGCCGCCGCCGCCAAGCGTTGCAGCAGCAGCTGTTGCTGCTGTTGCCGCTGCGAGCAGAGGCCTGCTGCTGGCCCCTCTACACGTGAATGCTTCTTTAATGGAGCAGCGGAGGGGTTAGCAGCACGAAGCAGCAAAAGAGCAGCAGCAGCAGCAGAATAGCAGCAGCAGCAAAACAGCAGCTAGATCGCGGAGGCCGCAGCCGCTTCTCTGCTGCGACAGCCAGCTGGGGGAAATATAGATGTTGAGGGGTAGTGATGCTGCTGCTGCTGCTGCTGCTGATGAGGTGTACGTACACCTCACTGTACAGCGGACTTGAGCAGCCGAAACTGCAGCAGCAGCAACGGCAGCAGCTGCTGCAGCAGCAACACGATGGTGGAGCCCAGCAGCGTTTGTCTTCTGTGTTATTATTGTAAAATGAAATATAAAATAAATATAAACAGAGCAGCAAAATAAAAAAAATAATTAAACAAAGACAGACACAGAAATGCTTTTGCTGCTGCACTCCGCTGCTGGAG